CTTTGATTTCATTTCCTCTTTTAAGCCAAGTTGATTAGGATGTGGGTGAGGTTGAGTAACTAGCTTGTGGCTTTTCAGCCATGGTAAAGGACACCACATTCTTGCAACTCCAGCTGTTAAAGATAAGATTACACACCTTGTCTTGGATGGTGCACTGGGTCCTAAAAATCCTTGTTGGAGGATTGCTCGACACTAGAAGACGGTGTACTACAAGTAATTCTCCTTCATTCACTTGTTTTGTTTGTTCCCCAACCAAATTGCTGTCTTCCTATTCTAATGAATCTTGTCTCAAGTTCACTCTCTTCCACCAACAAAATGACACGATGATTTGGACAGTTGGCTGCTATATGGCCAAATCCATGGCATTTGAAGCTACATATATTAGTTGAATTGTTTCCAACTTTTGTAACAAATTTTTCACCTGGCTGGACTGCAGACTGACTGCTGCCTTCCCCTTTTCTGTCAGCTGGCAGCACTCTGGAATGACCAGCTCTGTTGAAGTCGGCATGTTCAGCTGTTGCACCATGCAAAGAGGTGCTTCGGCCCCATTTTTTCTGTTGTTCCGCCTTCAAAACAAGGTTAACAACATCCCACAGTGACCAATAAGGTTGAAACTGAACTACATTGGCTATAGAGGTCTTAAACCACCCAAAAATCGTGCAATAGTGTGCTCTCAGGTTTGGATAGATTGCATTTCAATCCATGATGCTTAAATTCAGCTGCATTTTCTTATACCATCTTCTCTTGTTCGTGTAAAGGATGAAGACAGATGAAAACCTCTTGCCGATAGTGATCCAACAAGAATTTGCATTGCAATTCCATTTTCATCTTACTCCATGTAGTAACCTTGGATGGTCCCTCTTTTTGCCTCGTTCATTTCAAGTTTTCCTTCCAAAGGGAAGTATTTTTTCTCAACTTGATAGCAACAAGCTTCGCAATTTGATGTCGGGGCACCTCTTTGAACTTGAAAATCCTTTCGACGTTGTGTAACCAATTAATAAACTCATCTGGGTCTAGACGTCCTTCAAAATTAAGGATATTTATCTTAGTTTCAAGATCAGTGTTTTTTTGTTGTTTGCCCTTCCTCTATCCACGAATGAGCTGCTCATCTTCGGAAGAAGCTTATTGAATAAGATTATCACCCCCTTCTTCTATTGCCTTGGAATTATGTGCCATTGAGCATTTCTCCAAACTTTTATGCTCCATTTCTATGAGTCTGCATTTCATGCAAAAGATCATCCATGAGCAATTCTTGATTAGTTCTTGGCATGCTTTTGCATGGAGGCATGATAGCTGAAAATTAGAATCAAGAAGGTAGTGAAAAAAATCTGTATTCAATTTCTGGACAAGAATTGGAATCATGAAGCCCAAGATAAAGGAATATCAACCTTCCCTGACCAAACATTAAAGGAATTGCGGACATAAAGGGAATTGCGAACATAACAGAGGAAATCCACGGCAGCGACAAAAATTTTTTTCCTTGTGGCTGGACAACAAAGAAGCAAACTAAGAACAACCCAAGAAAGAAAAACCGCTCTGCTTCAAATGATGTTGGACTGGTTCGGCTAGGGCAGAGTTCACAAAGAAGTTGCCAAGGTGCTGCTCCAAATCTCCCGCAAACAGCAGGCTAAAACCTGTTGCGTCGAGAGTTACGGGAAGGAGGAAAGTGCAGAAAACTGAGAGGAAATGCAGAGGAAGACAACATGGATACGCCTGGACTGCTTCAAGATTGGATCTCGGTTCAGCCAGCGAGTAATGGTAGATTTGAGAGGGAGTAATGCAGTAATGTGGAGAGAATCAAGAACAAATCTTGCATGAGCTGGGCTTTTGAAATCTTCAACCTGATCCACTAACCAATCTCAGGAGTCCTGAGACAATCTCTGCCTGTTCATGAAAGGATTGGATGGGGAGTCCAGAGACAATCTCTGCCTGTTCATGAAAGGATTGGATGCAAGAATCCAAAGCGTTGATACCAAAATTATACCAGCCAAAGGGGGTAAAAGTGAAAAACATGAAGGACATAATAATGGCTAAACTTCCTCTGAGTGCCAACTAAGATACAGCTACAAGGCAAGATTTGGATGAACCGAAACCTCCTAAGAGAAAATAAATACAAGTCTAAAATCCCCCTTTTTTTCAGCCCTCACAAGACGACCCTTATTTATAATTGCTACTCTTCTAATTACAAGTATTGCATCTTGAGATGTAAAGACAAATAAGAAATTAAAATATATAAATTAAGGTATAAACTGAAATAAAACTTTAGCTACGGCTTCATTTTGTTCTGTTGTTGTAATCTTTGCCTTTCATCTCTAGCTCTAGAGATCCATCTTTTAAAAAATCCACAACACATTCATTAAATTCACCAGTTAGAATGCAATTTTGATCCCACCACATTTTTTATTAGTCTAACTCGTATTATCTTGAAGGCCTCTTTCTGTAGTATATAGCGAAAGTGAAATCCAGCAGTGGCGCGAGGCGCGCAGGAATACTTTTCTTACCAGAGCTAACATTGAGAAGGTATAATACAGATCTTGTTCCATAAATAAAAAAAGTGGGGAGTTTTAATAACATATTGTGTTCCAGAAGCTGAAGTCAGAAAGTGCAAACAAGGAAGAGATGGATTCACTTGCTAAAATACGCCGGCAGGTATTCATCTTTATTCTTCAGAACAAACTTCTTCATCCTCAATTTACAAATCATTTTTTCCTGTTAATCATCATCATAATTAGTCTTATTTCAATTGTTTTAGATCTGCTTAATTAAGCCTTATCTTTCATTTAATTACGCCCATTTGATGAGTTTAATTTATTTTCATTTTTAATCTGCATAAGATACATAGACCATTGTATTCATGTGAAATAATAGCCTTTTTCTGCAGCAACTAAAGGAAGTTCTAGCAAAACAGGCAGAACTTGGAGTTAAAGTTGCATTTATACCTTCAATATACCTCACTAAACCTGAAGATCAAAGCTCCAAAATTGCCAATCCTGACGAAGCTTTAAATACAAATATTGAAACTCCATGCAAACATTTTGCGAATAAGAAGAGAGGCTGGTTATCACTCAATAAGCGAAATGCCAAAAGGCTAAAGCTCAAGAATGTGACACCCCTGCTCACTAAACCTGAAGATCAAAGCTCCAAAATTGCGAATCCTGATGAAGCTTTAAATACAAATATTGAAACTCCATGCAAACATTTCACGAATAAGAAGAGAAGTCGGTTACGACTCAATAAGCGGAATTCCAAAAGGCTAAAGCTCGAGAATGTGACACCCCTGCTCGCTAAACCTGAAGATCAAAGCTCCAAAATTGCGAATCCTGACGAAGCTTTAAATACAAATATTGAAACTCCATGCAAACATTTCACGAATAAGAAGAGAAGTCGGTTACGACTCAATAAGCGGAATTCCAAAAGGCTAAAGCTCGAGAATGTGACACCCCTGCTCGCTAAACCTGAAGATCAAAGCTCCAAAATTGCGAATCCTGACGAAGCTTTAAATACAAATATTGAAACTCCATGCAAACATTTTACGAATAAGAAGAGAAGCCGGTTCCGATGCAATAAGCGAAATGCCAAAAGGCTAAGGGCCTGTTTGGTTCCGATTTTTTGGGTGCGGCGCTTGGGGTGCGGCGCGGCCTTCTGCCGCGAAATTTCTGCCGCGACACTGTTTGGAAGACGGTTTCGCGGAAACGTACCGCGAAGCTTGGGAGAAAGCGGGCCGCGGGATAAATTGCGCTGCCCCGCTGCGCTGCCCCGCTTTATTGAGCGGCTTTTACCTCGTCGCCCCTCACTCCTGGCGATTGATCCTCTACTATCCCAGAACTCCCATGGTGTCGACGTTCGCCCATATTTTGCGAAGCAGGGAGGTCTCTCCCTTCTATGCTCTTCTCATCTCCATTCCATCTCCCACGGCTCTCTCTTCCATGAGAAGAGCTGAGCTCTTGTTATTCGAGTTCCCCAGCCTTTCAAGTGGGGCGACTTTCTTCTGTTCGCATCCTTCCATGATGGACGAAGATCCATGTCCGACTGCCATTGATTATGGGTAAGACATTAAAAATCTTGGGTTCACATGCACTATGCTTTTCTCTATGAAACTGGTTTTGGCTTTTATCTGCAATTTTCACATTTTTTTCACTTTGTTTCTCTCCATGAAATATGTGTGTTTAGTGGTTGCTTTCCCTTTTTTGCTTAAAGTGTACTGCCTTGACAAAATGCTCATCTCTGAGGATGAGTTTCATAGGCTAGCAGATTCAACTTTATATCTGAAAGGGTATTGCTAGTGTTGACAAATTAATTTTCATAATTATGTTGTGGTTGAAACTGAACTAGTTCAAATCATGATTTTTGCTACAATGCTCAGCCTAATTAATAATGATTTGGCCTTAATATTTATATAGCAAACTCGAGATGTCTTTATTATTTGACTACCATATTCCATGAAATATATTTATTACAAATACAATTCGCAATTACATATTTAAATTTTTTACATATACACATAAATTTTTTAAACAATTTTACTAAACAGGGGCAGCTTGGTCATTTCTCCAGATACAGCTGCCCCATAGCTGTTTTCACACAGCTGCACCAAACAGATAGTCAGCTTCCCCGCAGCTGCTTTTTGGGACAGCGCAGCTGCAGCTGCGCCAAATAGACTCTAAAGCTCAAGAATGGGACACAGTTGTTGAATTAATTTCCCTGCTCACGAACCAGTAGTTAAGAAAAGAGAACTGACCCTTCTGCAGAAGCTTCAGAATGCCGATATAAGGCAAGAAAACATTTTGTGCAGTTTGTTCTAAACAGTTTTTGCATTAACCCAATCATTTGATATTTAAGTATAAAACATGTTAATATATCAAGATTAAGCAAAAACCGCACTTATACAGTTAAGAAGTCAAATATCGTGCATACAAACACATGAAGATGAAGAAAATCTGCACATATGCAATTAACAACTATGTAAATGTTTAAGAAAGATTTCTCCCCTTCAAACATCCAAACAATATGAAATGGTTGAGCTCCACGTAGAACATTTGATGTTACCATCTACAGATATTATCATGCACGAATTTAGTACAGCTTCCTTTAGTCCCAAAAAATAGTATTTATCACACAGTATACTAGGCTCAGGCTCATGATGGATGACATTTTATGCTTTAAATCTCCTGCATTCAAATATTTATCCATATTTTAGACAGAAGAAACATGATAGTTTAAGGCTCATGTCCCAAAGAGATGGACAAATAAACAACATATATTATGAACCTTAAGAGATAATGCAACT